CTTATATTTGTATAAAAACGTTATTTATGTTTGGAGTGGACTTCTGACTTCTTAGTAAACCTTTGAGGGTGTAAATGTATGAGCTACTATTGCTGGCTTGTTTTTTAAGCTGAACTCCAAGCAAACAGCTAAAGACTGATGAAATTGATATGTGGATACTGTGTTCCCTGCGAAAGGATTTTTAGTTCTATGCAGACTTTCCTGAAATATGGGCATTTACACTAGACAGGACAGCAAGGTCATCCAAACTAACCACACAGCACAGATTGGGCAATAACACTCCCGCAGCATGATCTGACAATGGAGAGGGCATGTTTCTACTGTTTGCGTCTTCCTCCTGACGGCGTGTACATTTCCCACACATTTCCCACACATGTTCACTGTAGTAGAGCCTAGTTGACTGGTAGAGCTGCACTGCCCTACCCCCCTTTTCTTAATCGTGTTCTATTGAGGATTACATTGGACTAACATCAAGCCAGAATAATGCTAGATTTATTTAAAAAATTTAATTATTTTGGATGAAATATAGAACTGGATTAAGTAGTTTTTTTTATATATCTGCCTGTTTAGCTTTAGAACTGCAGACTCCAGAGCAATTACTAGCTTCACTACATATGTCCAAAGTTCTTGGCTTTGACCATCAGTATCTGCTATACAAATTCCATAAATCAAGTTCCTTTTTAGGATACCAACACATCGGATACTTTTCTGTCTTAGGCTATTGTCGTGGCATGGATGCCTCAGTTATATAATCCTATACTGCTTTACTCCGACACATACATACAAGTGTTGAACCTTCTCTGCTTTAGGATTGCATTGGAGACACTCCTGCTGCCCATAATCATGTGCCTGTGATGGTGCTGTAAAGATGCAATTTACTACATTGTCACAGTAAAGCTGGCCATGAACTGTTATATATTTTTCAATTCACCCTGTAAGAAGAAATGAAGAGCAAAAACCACACTGCGTCGAGTGTGCCTTCATCAGAATGCTTGAACAGTGATGGCAGCTGATTGGCTGACATCACTGTTTGCCAAAAACTTTCCGACCGGATTTTTTCTGTTCGAAGGATGCCAGATGGAAGACTGACAACAGGGCCACCTACGGAACGAATTTCATCCAGTTCATAAACCGCCAGACGAAATTTGTACAGTGTATGGCCGGTTTTACTCTCCTGTTGCGACACATAAATGTTACAAAAACAAAATTGTGTTTTAATAGTTTACATTTGAATCTGACTGTCACAATACTTTCACATAATATTTGGGGGGTTACAGTAGAGATTGTGACCTAGATCAAATAGTTAATTATTGTCTTTAACATTTGTTGCCTGAATAGTAGAATACACATGAGTGATAGAGCTGCTAATATTTTCATTAGCATTTAGAAACGGGATTGCCTTGAACATATGGATAATGAGATGAAAAGGATGGGAATAGGACATGATTTAAACAGCTGATTGAGATTGTGTTACAGAAATGAGGCATCACAGTGCTGAAAACATGCTTTAGGGCATGCCTGTTAATGAAAACATTAGAGGCAGGAACGCTTTCTGTGCCTCGTGTTTACATAACGGTATTGCTTTAGAAGTTTGGTCATGTGTGTTCTAAGAACAGTCTATAAGATATGACTTATCAGACAGTCTCATAGATTGTGTTGACCCTCTATAGTAAAATATCGGATGCATTTTACTGATGGAAAAAAAAATTGTATGGAGTTTGTTGTTCGTGCTTAGAATATACATTTCTCTCTCTTTTCTGTTTTATAGTAAACCATTCTGAGATCATGTTTCCCAAGCAGGCACAAATACATGTGCCCCCCCCCTCCCCCAGTGCCAGCTTATTTTAAGTGAAGCAGTGCGTATTATACAAGGTTTTCTGATCTGTGGAATCATCTTTTCCCTTTGGTGGGCTGGGGATGTCTTCTGTGTCCCATAAACTAGAGAATGTTGAATGAGCTTCTAATGTCTATGGCTGTAGTAGGTAACACATTTGAATTGTGTTTTAGGTTTATGTCAGGAATGTAATTGCTCTAGCTTTTACTCAATGGACGGGAATTGGGATGGTTTGTACCATAGATTTTTTTTTTGTTTGTTTTCTTAAAGTCAGTTTCACTCATATGTGTAAATGGAGCCAGGGGCCACATAGTGAGGTTCCACTGTGAAATTAGTTAAAAATTTCAATTAGTTAACTTTTGAATGTTCATAAAGTTTTTTTTTTTGTTTTTTTTTAGCCCCAATGTTACAGTGTTGTATGATAAAGGTGGAAGACTGCTAAAACAAAATATTGCATTCAAGCTGCTAAAACTCTGCGTTAAGCTCACCTTACACAGTAAGGCCAGGCTGTCTGTTCTGAATCCGCTCAAACTCGGGCAGCCCGGCATTCAAGAGATGTGACCATTTCCACATTTGTCATTTCTGCTGCCCATGTAGGACAGTGTTCTTCAAGAACTGTATGCGGACTATGTGGTTTATTATTGGCAAGTCAAGGCTTATATATAGTGTAGGAACCCTAAGACAATATCATGGGACTTTAATATTACGTTTAGGGATGCACCGATACCAAGTTCCGTACTCAGTACAAGTACAGATACTTTTTCCAGCTACAAGACTACACTAGAGAAAAACTCAAAAGTTAGGAGGCAGCTGTCATTTTGTAAAGAGCACACGTAGCTCCTGGGATTTGTACATCTCTGTTTTAATGTATGATTTTGTTTTATATATATATTTATTAGGGATGT